CTTTTTTCTTTTTGTCATTCACTCCTGATGATGACCCTTGAATAAAGGTCGAAAGCTCGAGTAGTGTTTTAAGTGATAACTTGAACATGCATTTTGTCGCAGTGCTATATTTCTTACTTAAATCTATTTTCTTCACTGCACCACCTCCAAATTTTGTTCAGTTCTACTGATGATGATGCTGATTTATCTTGTTCATCATATACTGTTGCTGTTGCAAATTGTTTAGAAAAATGTGCCGTATCGAATGTTATTGCTACTTGTATTGCATCATTTAACGTTGTAGGTGCGCGATAACCGACTTCAGCTTTTGCACGTCCTCGTAAACCTTCTTGAAAATACATCACCTTATCCATCTCGTCCATACTATCGATTTGCCCTAATATATTTCGAAAATCATAAACATATGTTTGTACATTTCTTGTTTGTCTTAATGAACGCAGTTGTCGGCGTAACATTTGTTGATGGTGAGGTGCTTGAAAATTAGATTTTATTCGAATTTTAAATTCATCAAATGTTCTAATTGGTGGACCACGGTTATCATTAATTTGTTTTCTTTCATTATGCCACCATTGTAATGCTGCTTCCCTTAATAATGTTGACACATAATGTAATTGTTGTTCTCCTTGAACATTTTTAACTTTAAATATTTCTTCTACTTGAAATAGCCATGTATTCACATTTTCTAATTCTTTACCGTAAAATAATGGTGGAGGTACGTTTAAACGTACATGGATTTTTTTGTCCTCTACTCTAATCGCCCTTGTAGGACCTCGACCATCTAAATGTAGCTTTTTCGTCGACTTAACTCGGACAGCATACCTCACTGTACTGGTGTCGATGAAACTCTTATGAAAGACTGGAGTGTTTTCGAATCGAAACTGATAACTGCTACAAGATTCTGGGGCAGTCTACAGCCGCTACGACAGGAGTGATTTTGACTTCAAAATATCACTGGTAAAACATAAAACCGATGGAATTGGACGAACTGGGATTGTCCAACAACATATTCTGAATAGGCGATTTCGAATGAGATTTCTTCAGGTTAGATTTGTATCGCAAGGGTTCAACTGTGCCAGGAGACAAATGTTGCCGGATACATGTTTATTCGAAATGGGGATATCGTACACTGAAGTTCTCAAATAAGAATTCAAATCAATCAATAAATTTTCGGCTCAGTTCTAAAACATAAAATTAGCAAGTAACTTCGTAAAATACGCAAGAATGTTCTCTGTATGTTGGAATCAATTTGTTCTTGTACATGCTAGACAAGAGTGCGGTATAGGCAATTTTGGTAACCATGACGCATTGAAGAATGGTGGAGGATTACGAGCAAAGTAGGCAGGTCCTTGCCGTGTATATGGACTCATACATAATGGCAGTGTAAAAAAAAGAATCAAGAGCGTTACCAACCATCCTAAAGGTGCCGGCAATCGAATAGCCAAGTATGATTCGACGCAACAGAGAATGCCATGTAGAAAAAAGAATCCAAATGTAGGCAAAATCGATTGTGCACCGCCGAAGTCAATAAGAACAATATGAGCATGAAGAAGTCCACTGACACTGAACGTGACGAGTGATGCAATGACCGGTGATGATAAATATTGTTTGATAGGCTTGAATATAGATTCGTTGAAAACAGTACTAGTTAGACGATTGTATCTTCGACCCCAGAATTCGCGCAACGATTTGCTGAATAGAGGATAGTTGCTAATCGATAGAAGTGTGTATTTATCCCGAGTAACAAGTCGTACGAAAGCAATTTGTATATCGGACATATGTGAACCCATGAGAATCAAGAAGGCAACCATGATTGATCTTGCATGATTTTCACTCGCTTCACAATTGACAAGCCATCGAAAAATCCAATGATTTAATATTAGTTTTATAATTCCAGAAACGAGATCAAAGATAATCGGTGATTGCTTCTCTCTAGAATCATTTGGAATAACTGGAAAAAGATTCCAGAATAATTTCAATATGAACGAGTAAAATGTTCGAGCTTCGTGTGGAGAAAATACGATCATCTGAGTGATACGTATTGACATAATCCAATAGATTGATACCATAATAATTGAAGACATACTGAGTGGTGGAAGATCGCGACAGCCAGCATATGTAAGTACGATGCATGGCGCGAGTGTCAAAGTTGCTCGAATCGAATTGTTGCGAATATTACGAAGTACAAAGTGGCATACGAAAATATGTGCTAACCAACTAATAGAAACAAGCTGTTGAAGAGACATATTGATAGCTGCGAGAAGGTTCTTCAATGTTGTGAAGTAATCTCCGTTCTCGTTTTTCTCCTTGCTTTTGTCATAAACTTTTATTTGAGAGAAGAAAGTGTGAAAAGCTTCAGTACAAATAATGAAAAGAAGGAGGCGAACCTATTACATCTTTACATATTGACTGAGGACAAAAGACAGAACAAGAGTACATGATAAGAACGATACACAACGACAACAAAAAAAAAAAGACAAAGGAAAGACAACTAAAGAAGTAAAAAGAGAGAGAAAGGAGAAAAGAATGGTAATAATAACAAAGAAGAAATGAACTAGTGGGGAAATTCAAATTTAAAATCTTTGTGTGTCTCTAATAAAACTTATTACAATCTTATATAACTCATTCATCTCTGTTTCATTTAAGGAAGGTACAGGTTTTTGAAAAAGTATGTGTTCTAGAGAAAGAGGAGCGTTTACCAGAGCATTCAAGTCGTTTTGAAAAGCTGTTCTGCAGCGCTGGTTATTTTAACAGTCAAAAAAGACATGTTGCACTGTCTCGTCTTTTCCACAATAACACTGCTAGCTGGTAACTAAATTTTTTTTATAAAGGTCATCATTCAGTCGAGAAAAATTCACTCGCATTTGGTTGAATAACATGTCATATTTTCTGTCTATGTTTTTAAATCTAGGCCATTTACACCAAGGAAAAAGTGAGCGTTTATTGCAGAACGAAATGTTTTTAAAGCTAAAATTGTAGTTAGAGCATTAGGTAGTGCCTTCCATTGCTTAATTGTCCATGGAAAGGACTGGAAGGTCAACTTAACGTTCCCTCTTTTTTGTTCATTCGCTTATCTTCTTTTATATACGCCAACTATAGTTCCTTTTTAGTCAGATATAGTTATAAGAATGGAGTGAAGACACGCGTGGGTAGTATTCTTTATATCGCTGCATTCCATCTTCTTCGTTGTTATTAGTTCATTGTTTGTTATTCTTTTATTAGTATTAACTTTGTTCATTATTATCAAATATACTACACCAAAATCCTGTTGCTATCTATTGGATTGGGGCTGAGACACTAGACGGAGAGCTTTTCAGACGAGTAAGAGAATTAAAGATAGCAAGTGGGGGGAATACCGTATTTTTCATAAAAAACAACTAGCGTTCTCTATCAATCGTCATATAACGGCACACTTCACTTATATTCCTTAGTTTATACTATACATCATCTTTAAGAATTATATTTGAAGTTAAAGTTCAAAGCAGGTATGTTTTTGTTTTTAATTTTCTTGAGAGATCACTAGTTAAACAGCAGTTAAGGCAGATTCTTCCAATCGACGCTTACCGTTCCTAACCGAGACGGTGTTTTTAACTAATATCGTTCCCATCTGTTTACCGCTCTGACCGGAGACGGTGTTTTATTTATTGTGATATCGTATGACCAACGTACCATACCAGAACACCAGATCAAAAGTCAACCTTAAAACTTTATCTATAAGTGATCTCCAATCACATTCACTTCCATATAAAGTAAAAATGCCAAAATCAGCAGCGAGTAAAGACTCTCGACGGCAATCAAGAATCTTCTCACCACTCGAACTAAGACAATCATCCTCTCTGAGTGATACTCAGCTAATTTTCTTCGACTTATCCGAAGAAGAAGAAGGTGAACAGGATATAATGGACGCACAGCAATAACAGTTTGAACAGGATAATCGTGAACAGTTGGAGGAATTAAATAAAGTATTCCAAGAAACAAAAAGAATTGAACAGGAATTCTTAAGTAAAATAACTTGTCTACAAAATGTGAAAGAATCAGCAGCACAGATTGATCAGTGGTTTAACTCAGTTGAAATTATTTTTCGAAAACTCAATTATCCCGAATATTGTTGGGCAGAAGAAGCAATAAAACATTTAAAGGATGAAAATGTCAAATTGTGGTTTGAGAAAGAGAAAGATCTAATTAATCAGCAGTGGGATAAATTTAAACAACAATTGCTTAAATACGTTCAAGGCACTGAAGAACTGATAGTAGCGCCACTAACAA